GACTCCATTAAGGAATCTTTATGTAATGCACTCTGGAATCCTGATTCATTTAGCTTGTACATGCCAACAGTTTCATGACCATGTGTCAGGAGCTTTCTTGTCTGCATGTCCCTAACAAAGCAACCATGAGGCCAAAATTCTACAAAAACCCCATTATCCTTAAAAATTTGAGAAACAGATATCAAATTTTTAACCATAGCTGGAACATGAAGTATTCTGAGCATTTGTAACATAGACTGAGAAGTCGAAAGACAAGATTTACCAACCGCAGAAACAGTCAACATATTTCCATTACCTACTACAATAGGTCCAGTGGTCTGAGAATTGTCAACTTCTTGAATTTTCGATGCATCTTTAGCAATGTGTTGAGTAGCCCCTGAATCTAGATACCATGCATTATCAACAAGAGATACAGCCTGAACATTAGCAGTGTGACTCTATTGCGACGAAGCTGAACAACTAGAGACAGAAGGATCCAGACCAGTAGGAGTAGAACTCATATATTCAGAGTAGTCAGGATAATAGGAAGAGTAATAAACTTCAGAGGCAGGCAGAGTAGAGAAATCATAGTCAGTATTATATGTATCAGACGTAAGATGAGCTTGAGAGACAGAGGAAGAAGAACCATGAGGTGCATAATTGTAATCAAACCTGAAATAACACCTCCCTGCTGTATGTCCAACTTTGTAGCAAATCTGATAGATAGGAGTGTGAGATAGAGGAAATTGACCACGTCCACGACCTCCTCCTCTAATGAACATAGGCCTCAATAGACGACCTCCAACACTACCACTTGAAACTGGAGTGGAATTTGCTGAATATGGAGGAGATACTTCTTGAGCTTGAAAAATTAATGGAGCGGATGAACGTATCCAAGGTACTAAGGTAGCAAAATTGACTTGAGGAGCATGTTGAAAATACATTTTCTGCCTTGCTTCAGAGTCAAGAAGCATCGTGCTCACAGTGCTGATGTCATATTGTCCTTTTGACATATTAATCACAGCAATAACTGGCTCATATTCAGGAGTCAAGCCATTCAACATATAAGAAATTGAGATGAATCTGGTACACGTTGGCCTAAAACTGCCAAATTATCGCAAATGGACTTGATATTGATGAGGTACTCTTTCATGGAAAGATCACCTTTTCACTGATTACTGAGAAGGTTTTGATAATGAAGAATCTTAGACTCTAACTTGGCAGAGTAAAGATCACAAAGACGATGCCATATTTGTGCAGCAGAATCAAATCCAACTAAATTTGGGAGAATAGAGCAACTCACAGTGGAAAGAAGCCAGGAAGCTAATGCTGTATCATGTTGCTCATAGGTCTCAAAATCAGGATTCACGACTGTTCGTCCTTCAACATCACGAATAGTGGCAGGTGGAATAGTAGCAGTTCCTTCCAAAACCAAGTATTGTATATGTTGTTTAACCATAAGGGAAACCTGTTGTTTCCAAATAAGAAAATTAGAATCATCAAGAACAACATTTATTTTCTTATTGGAGAACGACTTTGCAGCAATCGGAGCTTGTGAAACAGCAAGAATAGGGATTTCAGCCATTGATTAGTCAAGCTAGAGCGAAGAGAAAATAAAAGAAAAGAAGTGAAAAAAATGAACAGGTTCGGAGTCACCAGATCGGTGGCTCTGATACCATATGAGAAGAAGCAGATTAGAGAGGAAAGAGAATAAGAATTATTTGAATAGTACGATCTGATTATGTTTTTGTATGTGTACATCATCTATATTTAAAATGTAAAATCCTCTTCTTAGCAGACTAACTGATCTGTTAAGGCTAACTAATCATAGCAATTAATATTGTTATAACAGACTGACTTACAACTGAACTTATATTCTAATAGATTGCGTGCACATAAACAAAATTACTGACTCAGTCACAATCAGTGGATTCAGAATGCTCTGTTGAGAATGAATGTGTCTAATTATTAGTAAATAAATATCAAGAATTACAATAAATTAGAAATAACTTCATATAAAGCAAAGATTTTTTTTTTTTACCAACAAAGCAAAGATGAAAAAAAGGACTTTTTTTACCTTTGCGGTGTCCCATGTAACTTGCATTTTTATCCCTTTATCTAATAATTCAGTTTTTTTTAAATCATTTTCTCCCAAATCATAATTAAATATTTCTGTAAAAAATGATTTAATAATATATTATTTGATTAACAATAGGTCTTTTATTACCTTCTTTTAGGTCTGATTGATAGGTCTAATTAAAATGATTCCTTTCTTTGGTCAAGTTCGGTTATCATGAACATGAAAGAAAGATCGTCCTTGGTGCTGCCCGTACACTAGAACAATTGAGATATGCCATCATTATATTTTACTATTATTAACGCGATTATAATTATTTATTATTCATAATTTTTATTTGAAGGCACACACATAAATATCTCACATTTTAAAAATAACTTTTTTTTTCATTTCATTCTTCTTTTTATTCTTTTTCATTTTACAAATAAAATTAAACCTTAATATGAGAAATTCTTATGTAAATCAAGTACGGCATATCATTTGTGGTTTACTTAATTAGAATATCTCAAGTTATCTAAATAAATCTTTTGTAATATTATTTTAATTAATTTTATTCTTTATAACATAATACATATTTAATTTTTATTTTTTTCTACTATCATTAATATCAAAATTAATTTATATTTAATATTATTTAAATATTATGTTTTTATTGAATTGATCACAAATAATGTGACTTGCCCAATCTACTTAAGAATTTATCTTTTAATATGGATAGCAAATCTTTATGTACATATAAAAGAATATTCACTGTGACAACATTAAAATAATTCTCCTTCTCTCTCTCACTCTGTATATATTCTCATATATTAAACAAGTGATATGTTTCCTAAAATTGAAGCGAAGGCAAGTATCAAACTGTAAGCAACCATCTGAATATGAAGATTTAGGCACAGTGTGAAGATTCATTGGTCTGATCTCTCTGACTTTTTTCTCTATAATTATCAAAGCGTGGCAGATAAACAGGAGAGTCGCGTGGCAATAATGGCCACCTTGCACTCAGCAATCTTTCATCTTGTAAGTTTTATATTAATTAATTAATTAATTGTGGCTTTCATAATACATTATTACAACATCAATTATAAATAATTTACTAAATTGATAATCCTGTCGCGTACATCCAGGAAAAGCAGATTTCATGTAATATTCCTCCATTTCAATTTCTAAAATACTTCTAAAAAGGTTCAATGTTCTAAAATATATAGATGCTCTGAGAAACATAATTTTTCAATAGTTTTGCTTTTTCAATGTTATGTCCTATCTTTTTAAATATTTTTATAAATTAATTATTTAATAAAAGACTACTTAAAAATTTATATTTTTTAGAAAAATAAAATCATAAAGTGTAATTAATTAATTTTATTTATATATATAATTTTATTTAAAAATATCTAATAAATTACTTTGAAGGAAGAAAGGAAGCAATAATTAATTGTAGACTTTAAATAATTCACTGTAATTACCATCCCTTTCACTTACGTCCATCAAGGAAAAGCAAATTTGAATTCATGCACACCAGTTTTGACCAAATATTAAAATGCACAAGTTCCAATGTCCCCATTGGTTGTTTGAATTATATTATTGTTATTACTACTCGACGAACGGTCTTATCAGTACTTTTCTGTTGTCTCTCATCTTTTACTTTTGGTTACAAATCCAATAACTGTTTTTCCCATTTTTGGGAAAATACTAAGAACCATTTTGAGATCTTACACAAGTTTAAACCAAACCCTAATTTGGAAATTCGTTTTGCCGCTCCTGTTAGCTAACCCTAATTTAGAAACTCTTTTTTATTACTGTTCAAGAGAGTAATATGTGCTCTATTTGGATGAAGGGACAAATTGAAGAAAAGGCAAATATGTTAAAGAAATATTTTTCTTTTTATGTATAAATGAGGGAAACGTGAAAAAGATGTGAGTCCTTATGTTTCCTAGCTTTTTCTTTTTTTAGGAGCAATTTTAAAAAGCAGGTTCTTTCGCAATTTTTTACTTTTAAATATAAAGTTTTGGAAACAAAATATATAGATATTGTTCTTCTTTATTCCTCTACTTTATTTTTTTTTAATTTTTTTACTAGTATCTTCAAACGAGGAAAATTTATTTTCTTTCATTTTTTTCATGTAATTTTTTTCCCAGAAAACTAATATTAGAACATATGTGTGCGTATATATATTATTCATGAGCTAATTTTCTCCATGTACAAAATAAGAATTCAAATACCTAACACCTATTTAAAAAATTTCGTCCTCCACCATTTGTGCCAACACTTTTTTGTGTTTCAAAGAACACTACAAAAATATTTGTAACCCATCTAAGATTCTTATATTATCAAAAATAATGAGAAATTTTTAGGTAAATTGAACTTACTGTGTCATTTGTGGCCTATCCAATTAAAATGTCATAGGTCATATAAATAAGATCTTATGTGACATTATTTTAATTGATTTTATTCTTATAATAAAATGCATATTTAATTTTTTGCTTTTACTCTCTCTATTATCATTAATGTCACAAATAATTTATATTTAATATCATCTGAATATTATATTTTTATTGGATAGACCACAAATGACATAACAAACCTAATCTACCTAAGAATTTTTCCAAAATGACTCGAATCTATATCTTTTATAAGACATCGAATTGGATTCTTACTAATTCAGATCAATGAATATTTTTTGCTGGCAGAATTTTTCTCTCTTATCACTAGGTAGTAACTTTCTATTTCAGCTTGCAGATCAAGTTATCCTCTGTGAAGGCTTTTGAAACATTAATTGGGTGTTTGGTGTTGATGGGATACATTTTGAAAGGAAAAAGAAACGGAATAAAATAAAGAAAAGATATGCCATGTGGGCATGTAAGTGCGATGCATAATTATTTCAAGCCTTAAAACAAGCGATGCACAGTTCCACTAGTGCCCGCTACTTCCACCTTCTTATAAACCTCCTCATAACTCGGAAACTTCAACACACAACAGTTCACAAAACTGCACTCAAACACAACACAAAACACACCATGACCACTTCTTCTCCTGAAGACGTTCATGCTTCTTCTCGCACTACTTCCTTATTCAAAACCTGTTTCCATGGCGTCAATGGCATTTCAGGTTCTTCTTTTTCACTTCTCATTTACTTTCATTATAGTTTCTTTCTACTTCTCAGACTTCGACTTAACAATATCTGATGCTGCCAAATATTTGAGAATCTATGCATCAAATATCATGAGCACAAACTTAAAGAAAGAGTTCATTTCAAAAGATCAGTGGCCTATTGTTGGGATGTCAACTATGAGTTGGCTTGACTTAGTATGAGAAAAAATCTCACATCAAATAGAGTTGGGCTAGAAAAAAAGTACATAGATCCATAAACTTAGTGAGAAGGCTCTCCACTCCATGTTACTTTACTCAGCTTACTATTAGTTAGGATACTCAATAGGTAGCCCTTTTTGGGAGGTCGGTCTCCTAATGAAAGACGTAATGTTATGAGTACAAGTTCAAAAGGAGAAGCGTTTATTAGTTGGAAGAATTCCTTAAATTTATAAACTTCACTATAAAGGTATCTTATGTAAGACTCATGACAATGGGTTGAGTGAAAGAGGTTTAATAATACTCGAATCTAACTTGACAGTATCAGATGTACAAAAGAATAGTATATGCTGTGCTCTCTATTGTTAATTACTTGTTTGGTTTATTTCAGGGATTGGGATAGTCTCCATACCATATGCTTTAGCATCAGGAGGATGGCTAAGCTTGATACTTCTGTTCATAATAGCCATCGCAGCGTATTACACAGGAATCTTAATAAAACGATGCATGGACAAAGATTCCACCATAGAATCTCTTCCCGACATAGGCCAACGAGCCTTTGGAGACAAAGGAAGGTTGATGGTGAACATAGCCATGAACTGTGAACTGTATCTGGTCGTAACAGGTTATCTTATTCTGGAAGGAGACAACCTCAACAAGCTCATAACACATGTGCATGTGGACATAGGAGGGATAAGAATTGGTGGCATGCAATGTTTTGTTGTTCTTACGGCTCTGATAATTTTGCCCACTGTTTGGTTGCAAGATTTGAGCCTTCTCTCTTATGTGTCAGCCACTGGGGCTTTAGCTTCTACAATATTTCTCTGTGCTTTGTTGTGGAACGGTGCGTTTGATGGGACAGGGTTTCATTATCGCAAAGGTGTTCTTTTTAACTGGAAAGGACTTCCTGCTGCTGCTAGCTTATATGCTTTTTGTTACAGTGCTCATCCAGTTTTTCCAAATCTCTACACTTCTATGAAGAACAAACATCAGTTTTCTAATGTAAGTACACCAGTACTGTTTTTTTTTCATTTTTTTAAATATATTTTTGGCTCCCATCTAGGGTTACTTGACTTTTAATTTTATTTTTGGATAGCAAAATTTTCGGTCCCCTCAAGTTTTCCTCAATTATATATTTGGTTCATGAAGTTTAATTTTTATTAATTAAGTCCTAAAGCTTCATAGTCATATGCAATTAATTCTTATAGTTTGAATATATATAATCCTAGACACATATGTGGTGTGTAATTTTTAGCTCAAGGATCTATAGCAACTTTTTCATGCATTGTATAAAAAATTGCTTGATCAGTGGGATCAAATAAAAATATGAAATTAGATACTCCCTTTAGTCTAAAATATACATTTTCTTGCAGCTAATCTTATCCAAAATATAAGCAACTTAGTCTATGTAATTTTTTTTTTCATTTTACCTCTTGTATATTTATTAACCTAGATTTTTATATCTTTGAATTTATAACCTTTTTCTCTGTCATCATAAGTTAGAACTTAAGATAAAAAAGAAAAATAATATATTGTCATGGGAATAAGAATTTTATTGGTGTGCGAATTATTATTAAAAGTTGCTTACATTTTGAACAAGAGAGAGGGTATAAAACTTTAGGAACTTAATTGAGCAAGATTAAAAATTTTGATCAATAACTAATAGAAATTTGAGGGATCAAAAATTTTGTTAACCCAAAACTATTTTTAATTTAATCTTTGTTGATGTGACGCTGTTAGTATTATGCTTTAATATATTTTATTGATGTAGACTAATTAAGTGACATCTTGTCACTTTAAATATGCATTATCTAAATCAATATCCTCAAGTTTTTAAACACAAGTTGCAAGGAAAAATATTTTTTGTGATTGCTTAGCTTGTCAAATGAATAAATATATTTGAAGCAGATAAATATATAATAAATAAACTTGCATCCTAATTATTATTATTATCATTATTCTTTCAGGTTCTTCTAGTGTGCTTTACACTATGCACCTTAATATATGCAGCAATAGCAGTGCTGGGTTACTTGATGTTCGGATCAGAAGTTCAATCAGAAGTAACCTTAAACCTTCCAAAAGGAAAAATAAGCTCAAAGGTTGCAATTTATACAACATTAGTGAATCCAATAACAAAGTATGCTCTGATGCTCACACCAATTGTGGACGCCATAAAAGCCACAATCCCTTCAAGCTTCAACAAGAAGAAGGCCTCACATTTAGTTCTGAGCACCGCCTTGCTCCTCAGCACCGTGGTCGTCGCCCTCGCCGTGCCATTCTTCGGATATTTGATGTCTCTGGTCGGAGCTTTGTTGAGTGTGTCTGCTTCATTTCTGGTTCCATGCGTGTGTTATTTGAAGATCTCAGGCAATTATAAGAAGTTTGGATGGGATATGATCGTCAATTATGCAATCATCCTTATGGGAATTTCTATTGCAGCTGTGGGAACTTACACTTCCCTGGTAGAAATAATTAAACATTTAAAAGTCTAATTGATTGGACTGTTAATTCAGGATTTATGAAGTTTAATTGGTTAATATGGTGTCAATATGATTTGGTTCAGGGTTTATGTAGATTGGGCTTCTTTTAAAATTTCAAGCCTTTGTACTTTATAGAAATTGTCAAAAACTCTTGTTTACTTGATTGATATCATGTTTTAAGATTTTAGAACTTAACAATGTCTTTTTTATTTTTGGGTATTAGTTTTTCTTTAGTTTGCTCAAGTCATGAGGATATAATTCAAAATGTGCTAAAAACTAGACCAGTTATTAAACTAATTATTAAAGGCACTAGTTCGAGAGTTAATTGTTAAAATCATAATTAAATTAGTTATAAACAAAATATTTCATTAAATCTGTCAAGGTATTAATTCAATCGATCGAATTAACCTAGTCTTTAGTACTATAATAATTCACTAAAAAGGCTAGTAGGCCTTTGATTATAATTTCCCCACCTTGGGTTGGATCCTAAAGGTGTGAATGAGAAGGAAGATGGGGTGAATGAGAAGGAACATAAGAATGATCCAATCCAAGTTTGGAATATGATAGGAAACAAGGCTTTGCTAAAGCACCCAAGAATTTTAAGGTCCAAATAGAGACAGTCCAATCATTTGCTAATATGTTTAGCCATGATGTATATTGTGGGATTTGAGCGCACTTGATTATGAAAACCAATAGCCCTTTTACAAACTAGAGTAGATAACCTCAAGTTCGAAAAAACTCTAGGGCAAGGTTGAGAAAACTATTTTTTTTTTTTATAATTGGGCTTTTATGGCTAGCCCGAGTACCCATATATGTTTATATATTGGGAGAAATGCATCTAATGCCTTTAGAATGGAAAAAATTAAATCACACCTAAGATCCAATACATTTTGTATTGTTTCTGCAAGCCCAAAAGCCTCAAATGCAAATATATTTTTTTCATGCAAAGATGCATTTGACTCAAATGTATAAATTTCTCAAGTGTATATACAACACAATGCTTACAAAAAACATGACAAAGTATACACATAAATAATGTATGTTTATTATACATTGTGGTTAAGTTGAACTATAATATCTGTATAACATAATGTTTGTTTAGAGAACATAACAAGATTCATATGTAAAAAATACAATATCAGTTTATTATATATAATTCATGTGGTTAAAGGCAAATGTGCCTTTTCATGGAGAAACATATGTGGGGGCCTTTAGATTTGCAAAAACAATTTAAAAGGTTTTGGGCTTTAGGCACAATTGTTTTCATTTTGGGGGCGGGCCTTATATGCAATTCACCCTTATACACACACGCACTCTAATTCTTTGTCTTTATTATAGGAAAGGTTACTTACTCGGTCGATAATATAAGCCACATAGAAGGCTATTAATTAAAATTTTTCAATTTTACCCCTATTGTCAATTACTGAAAGAATATTGTAATTCTATTTTAGTGTTTCTATATATAGCTCCTCAGTTAGTGTTTATCTCTCTTAAATAGGGGAAAAGTTTGAATATTTTTTAATTTTAAGATAGATTTAATGAGTTAACCACTCTTCCTTGGCTCCAGTAACGTAGTTGAAAGTGATTTATAATATGAACTAGAGGAGGCATAGATTAACTAGTTGTTAATTAACTTATTATATTAATATAGATGCTTGTTAATTAGTTGTGTTTTTAAAGAGGAGAAACGCACAAGAGGTGGAACAAGATTGGGAAGAACTGGATGATGAATGATGGCGATGATGGTGTTATTTTTATTATTTTTGTATGTTACAGAAACCAACTAGCAAATGATACTTTTGTTAGTTGTTATCATATACTTCTCTGGTCATATATTTATAAGATAGAGAAAGTATTTATTTTGATATTATTTATAAGAAATCATAATAATTATTGTGTTCATCTTTACCTTCTTACCCCTATTAAATGTTAGAAATGTTATTAAATATTAGAGTATATTATTTTTAAAATATATATATTTAATAAGAGTAAAGTTAAAAATTTGTTAAATTTTTGGATAGAGTTAATGAGGTTTAAATTTTTTCTTGGTTAAAATAAAACATGCTAGAAATAATTTATAAATAGGATTAGAGGATGATCAATTAACTGGTTATATTAATAACTTATTGACGTTAGTGTTGATGATAAAACTTGAAGTATGCTTCAACCTTTTTGAAACTTGAAGGTAATAGATATTTTGAATTGTTTAGGGTGCTGGATTAGTGGATTACAAGAAAAATTAATTATGCCTTATTTCATGGTTGAATCAACTTTAAATGGTATAAATTAAAAGACATTTGGGAAACTTGCAACGCACGTTTTGCAAGAGATCTTTCAAATGTCCATTTCATACACAAGGGAAATAGATTTTTGGGAGTTTCCCAAAGATAATGCTATAAATTAACAGATATATATATATATATATACATATATTTTGTAGTGAAGCTCATGAAGAATATCTTCAAACAAGAGGTTATGAACTTATTAATATCCAGTGTGTGTTTCAGCTTGAATTAGGTTCAAAGTTTGTTTTAATTAAATTTTCTATTAAGCTCATTGTTTTAGACATGATCAAGGCTTGTTTATTAATGTTGTATTTGATTCATGGGCTGAGTCAAGATACGGGCGAGCTTGGCTCACATGAACTAATTAACATTCATAAATCCAATTATTATATATACTAAAATTATTTGTTTTCTCAAGCCCTGTTCTTATTCAACAGGAATTGAATGTGATTCTCCCATAAACTTATGTGATATTGGGATATAATATTTTGGACTAATGATTTGTGATACAATATAATTATAAATGATATAGGCCAATGATGTAGTTGTAGTTAGTAGCATAATATTGCAAATGGGAGGGACAAATTAAACATATCTTTATCTCCCTTCTTCAGTTTTTCCCACCTAAAAACATTCCAAAATTTCAGCTCCTAGGATCTATATATAAATCACTTCTAACTAATTTTGCTAAAAAAATTGGTTAAATTTAATTGATGTTCATAAAATTATTCCATTTTTAAATAAATCAGTCCTAATTAAATCTTGAATAATATTTTCAAACCCATTCTCACAATATGATTTTTTTTTGGGCCAATCACAATGGAATATATGAAAGTTAGCAAATTACTCTTTATATTATAATCAACTTATCAATATATTATACGAAATAAAAATATAATAAAAGACATGGCTGGCTCTACTACTCATTAATTTGTTTCTTTACTGCACATCATTTGTGTTAACATTTTTTTTTTGTCATGTAAACAATAAATATTCTTTTTTGATTCAGAAATAAAAAGACTTAAATTTGCAATAATGCAAACCAAAATTTTCCGATTGAAGCTTGCAATTCTAACCATTCTTCTTATCCAAACAGAGCACATAGAACATTGTGAACCACACTAGTAAGTGCATATATTTAAACACTAACAAGGTCACACGCACCCAAAAATACAAGCTGAAATAAAAATCAAACCATACTCTTAAAAAAACTGTCAAAATAGACAGCTTTTATACAGATTTTACAAATTATGAACAATATCTACTAGAGATGTGTAAGTTCCTACAGCAGCAATAGCCAAACCCATAAGCACAATTCCATAGTTGATGATCATTTCAGACCCAAATCTCTTGTAAGCTCCTGAGATCTTCAAGTAACACACAGAAGGAACTAAAATGGAAGCAGAAACACTGAGCAATGCTCCTACAAGAGACATGAGATAGCCAAACAGAGGAATAGCCACAGCCACAATGACAGTACTGATGAGCAGTGAAGTACTCACAATTAAATGAGTGAGCCTTTTGTTGTTGTAGTGACATGAAACTATTTTCTTCACAGCGTTCACAATTGGTGTGAGCATTAGTGCATATTTGGCTATTGGATTCACTAAGGTTGTGTAGATTGCCACTTGTGAGCTGAATTTTCCTGTGGGAAGGTTTAGAGTCACCTGAGACTCAACGTCTTGCCCAAACATTAAGTAGCCCAAAATAGCTGCTGCTGCATATCCAAGAGTGCAAATTGAAAAACATACAAGCAATACCTGCAAAAGAAAATGAAATTCTAAGTTAAAAGCTAAGAGAGGAGGTATGTATAAGTTGAAAGACCCTGTAGATGTTATGAATGATGGGGAGCGATTGCCCAAAAACAAAGAAGAGTAATGAAAGGATATTGTATTTTAACTCAAAATTAAATGTCACGGCTCAAATTTATAAATTATTCCTTTTTATTTTATATTAGTTACTAAGCCCAATTTTATATTAATTTAAGTCCATTCACACTTGGATAACCTTACAATCTCTCCTCAAGTGTATGTCTACATGCTCCACATACCAAAGATGTTCTCATCAACTAAGAATATTAACTTGGTTAATAAGTAATATCTCCTAAAATCTTAATTATAGATATAATAGAGATATGATAGATTTTAAGCCAAGATAATAAATAAAAACAATCATAAAGGATAATAAATATTTGAGTCATAATCTCAACAATAGATTTGATGCCAAGATGTGCTGTTAAGTCCAGTTATATGCATTCTCTTATAATTCCATGCCTACTTTTAACTAGATTATTAAAGAAATTCTCTCATGTGAAGATGTAAATAAATAAATTGATATTATAAATTCAATATCTTGAGGTTTTGAGTTAACATAATTTTGAGTACGACACTCGTATGCATCTTTTATAACTCTAGGTCCAAAAGAATCTTTCTCTTTTTAGATGCTCTCCTATAGATCCAACATTTATACATGTCATGAGAAAATGGAAACAGAATACTTACATTGGAAAATTGACTTTTGTTTCTCATGGAATTGTAGAGGGTTGGCAAGACTGGATGTGCACTGTAACAAAAGGCATACAAGCTTACAGCAGCAGGAATTCCACTCCATTTGAAAATGGTAGTTCCTTTTCCATGGAATCCGGTTCCATCAATGGTGGCGTTCCAAAGTAGAGAGACGAGGAAGACGGTGGAAGCCAGGGCGCCGCTCGCCGAGACATAAGAGAGAAGGCTCAAATCCTGCAACCAAACAGTAGGCAAAATAACAAGAGCTGCAACAATTGCAAAAAGAGTGGTTCCACCGATAGTTAAGCCTGCAATGTGAAGATTGATATTTGGGATTAGCTTGTTGAGATTGTCTCCTTCCAAGATCAAGTAGCCTGTGACCACAAGGTAGAGCTCTGAGTTCATGGCAATGGAGACCATTAGCCGTCCTTTCCGGCCAAAGGCGCGGTCTCCGATGTCCGGGAAGGTCTTGATGTCTGAGTCCATGTCCATGCATCTTTGAACCAACAAGCCAGTGTAATAGCATGAAATGGCTATGAGAAACAACAATGATATGCTTAACCAGCCTCCTGATGCTAGTGCATAAGGGATAGATACGATTCCAATTCCTATATGATGACAACAACACAAGCATAAGTATCAAGTTTTAATTTGCATCACATATACAAAGTATGTATTAAAAAGGAAAGAAAGTGGAATTCATTATTCATACACACTAGAACTATTTTTATATGCTTTAATTTTCTCTCCTTAATTAATGTGGAGAACATCTAACAAGTCTCTCAAATTCAAAAATGATCGATCATGCTGTCAAACGACTTTAGGCGTAGCTAGTTTGAAGATGAAGAGGTTTAATAATTTGTTTTTTTCCCCGGTTACTGACTTGTTTTTCTTAAAAAAGATCCTAATTAGTCTGTGGAGAGAACAATATAAAACCTTACATTAATATTTAATATTTAATTAAAAAAGAAAATATTAGACACAATCAAGGTTTTAAATTAAAAATATAAAATCAGACGAAATATTAATTCAAAGGTCAACGGTTGGAACGTGGTTAAGCTGTGATCATGATTAATTTAATTTGTAAAGTTTACTTTTAGAGTGAGTCCCATCAAAAGAACAAACACCAAGGAAAAAAAAATGGAAAACAAACAAACAAAAGAATGAGCTAATAGTATATGTTATGCCCAAAGAGGTGCTTCCTCCATTCAAAAATGTAAAATATTTTTAATTGAATCTCACCTCACAATAAAGCTTTTACCTATTTTCAAACTAACCCTATTTTTTTATATTTATCCCTATTAACTATCTTGTAATAAATATAAAATCACTATCAATAGGGACACTTTTGGAAAAAAAAACAATGATTACACCTTGAAAGACTAAAAATACTTTACATTTTTTAATACCCAACTCTTCAAAAAATATCTTATATTTTTTAACAGAAGGAGTAATAGATTGAGACTTGGGTGGGGGAGTTGGCTTTTCCCCTTTCTAAAGGAAGGCAGAAGAAGAATTATTGCAAATCTAGATAGTTAAAATAAATTTGATGATTTAAATTTAATAATTTTTAAAAATACACATTTAATTTGAATAGTTTAAATTTTTAAAAAGGTAGTGGAAAAATAAAAAATAAAAAATAAAAAAGCGGTGGAGAGGGTGGGCATAACATCTTTCCTATGAAAGGTTGGGGGATTAGAAGTGTTGTTGATCTGTGTATTGCAAAATTACAGCTCTTGGCCCCCAAGTTCCAAAAATTTTCACCTGTACTATGCTTATGTTTTAAAACTTTATGTTCATGTTTTATTTTAGTCTGATTTATTTATTTTTTTTTGGGAACATGTCTGATTTTTCAATGGGCTTTACTTGGTTTTTTTTTTTTTTGCTCTTTTAGTTTCTCACATGTATCCTTTTATTAAATATAATTTTATTTAACATATTGTTAGACATTAAATGTAAATATTTTTTTAACAAAAATTTTAATTTTGATTCGTCACTTTACAAAGGACTAGTTCTTTCTGTCAAACCCAATTTCTATTGGTGGGTTTTAGTTGTTGGGCTTTGTGGCTAGTTTCCTCCTTGTAGGGCTTCTACTATATTAAACTAACAGTTGTTTTGTTCTTAAGCGTTTCATTAGGCCGGTCCAGTCCGTTCTAATTTTTAAAATCATGGTCAAATTTTGACAGCCACAAAATTTGAATCCACGCTATTTTATCTCCAAAAATGCCAATGAATCCACTTGTCTCAATTATTGAATCCGTGAAGATGCTAAAAAGATAGATTCCTACTTCCTGCCATTTAAAGACAGACAGATAAAAAGACAAAACACTTGGGGCTACCTACAATGTACTTTATAACTTTGTTGACAACAACATATAATGCATCTCAAAAACTATACTTTTTATTATTTTACACATTTATTATTTATTTAAAAAAAATTGGAGGACAACGTTTCTCTGATTGCTAGCTAATTTTTTTTCTTCCGAGATCTCGCCGAAAACTATTTTATAGTAATAAAATAAAATAAGGGACAGAACGTAGACGCTATATACATCTGTCACTTTTTAGTGTTGTCGTGATATATGTAGAAATGACTCAGAGACTTGGATTAAGTATATTTGTCCATAGTATTTTTAAGAATATTATATAGAGATTTTTGTTTGGTTCCATAATTCCATTAAGAATTGAATTTGAACACACTTTGTTTATATATCTTGTCTTCCTTTGCACATTAACTTTTTGGAAAAACTTTTTGTTTTCTTCCTTTTGTTTTGGGTATAAAATAATGAAAATAGTTTTGGTATTCAATTGAAGTACTTCTTTCTTATATGGCTAGAAGATTCCAGCTCATCACGATCCATACCAAAAAAGGCTAAAAGTTAAGGTACTAATTGGTCCACATGTTCCATCTTTGAAACAAAACCTAATATATACGTATTATATATATATATATATATATGAATCTCGAGGACCGCATATTTATAATATATAATATTAAAAGAGGGAAAAACAAGCTTGGTATGATACAGTTTGGAAATTATTTCAAACTTTATTAATTATATGAATCATATATGCATGGTACTTTCTAGAACAGCTTTTGGTTTCTACAGACAGTATCAATCAATTTATACTTTCTAATATCCAGAACTTTCGATATTTTTTCACTCATAATTTTCAATATATAGCTTGTTACTAAATCCAGGATCTAAGAATCTTATTAAGGAATATATATATATATATATATATATAAACACTTTTTCCTGGACAACATAGAGTTTTATCTTCATTTTTTCTTTTAAATCTTTATTCTTGAGACCGAAAACGAACTAAATTATGAAACAAAAAGGATGAAGAGTCGATGTGCTTTATGAATTATTGTACTGAAAACTTGATCAGTTATGGAACTGGTTCAAGAGTTAATAATCAAAACTGCAATCCAACTATAATCAAAATTTTATGAAACTGTTCAGTACACTAGTTTAATAGTTTACTCGTTCAATCCAGGCGGGTTGATTCGGATTTCATACTATGTTAGGAACAGTTCTCCAAGACAACCACTGAAGTTTTTAGAACTTAAAAGTCTTATAGCGAGGGTTTAAACTGAGACTATTTTCATAGTGACTAGTGATCTTGAACCACCAACAAGCAGATCTGAAGCTTTTTCAACTAAGAGAGATGAATATCAAAAGAAAGAAAGAAAGAAACCCAGAGACAGATTGAAGACAAAAGCTTTTAAGAGATATATAGAGAAAAAGAAGAAAGAAAGAAGCTGAAGAGGCATTTAACACAGACATATTGAAGACAAAAGAAGAGAGGAGATTAACGAGAGCAAACAGACAAAGCAAAATAATTATATCGATCAATAGAAACAAAAACAAAAATTAAAGAGCAGAAATTAATATATATCGAACCTGAGATAGCATTGATCCCATGAAAACAAGTCTTGAAAAAGGACGTGTTTCCCACTTGAAGGCTGTGAAGATCATCGCCACCTTTCTCCGCCACCGTCACATGGTGGTTCAGAGCATTCTGATCAGCCAGAAGTGGTATGATTACTGAAGACTTATCAGCAACTTGCTCTGAAGCCATGGATACGATCGAGAAGAAAAGATCGTGTCTCTCTGGGTAAGTCTTTTAAGCCAGCCACACGGAGTAATATATATATATATATATATATATCTGATAGCTTCTTCTGTAAATATATATAATTTATATGAAGAAGATAAGTGTGAATTAATTGTAATAAAATAAAGAAATAGAAAATTCTGGTTGGGATCAATAAGGGAAAATTTAGGGTTTGTCACTTTCTATTTTCCCCACTCTTTTATAATGGTGTGGCTTTGGACGGAATTGATTTTGATAAATGATCAGAATGGGAACACCATGACCAGTGAGCAATAAGTACGACGGGTGGCTTCAGATTGTGCAGAAATGGAGGGACTACACATGCTGAGTTTGGGACCCACTTTAGCTTAGCCCTGGCCCATATTCTTGGAAAGTTGGAATCATGATAATAAGTTTGTCTATTGTTTTACTTTCCTCTTTGGTAAACAAGTTTTGTCTATTGTTTTACTACGTATAAAGTCTACTCCCTTCATTTAAAAGTACTCCCTTTAGTTTAAAATGTAAACTTTTTTTAAGTTAATCTTGATTTAAGCTACTATCCCTATCCTAATTCATAAAATACTTTTAAAAAAGATCCGACATATTAAAATATAAAACATTTGATTAAAAATAAAGTTTTCTTAATTATACAAATTCAATATAACTTTTATGTTATATTTTTTCTCTTTAATATTCTTTTATAACATGAAATATTAAAAATAGGGTATTTTTAAAAGTTTTATATTTTTGTCTTAAAAACTAAGGCTATAAAGTGTATTTGATAAGAAATATTAATATATATAATTTTATCTAAAAGTATTTTATAATTTGAATGAAGAAGTGATAGCAACTTAGTATTTGTAAAAAAAAAATCCCATTAATTTTACCCTTTGTTTTTATTAATCTATATTTTCGTTTCTCTGAATTTATAACTTTTTTTTACTCATCATAAATTGAAACTAAGAGCAAAAAGGAAAAATAATATATATTTTTAAGAAAATAATGATGTTATTGGTATGGGAATTATTATTAAAAGCTGTTTATATTTTTGACCAAAAGAAGTATAAAGCATTTTCAACTAAATTAATTACATTCTCCAATAAGTTATTTAATTGTCTTTAAGGCAATACTATCTTATTATTTTTATTATTATTTAATAAGGTGTCTTACTTAAATGTGAAAGTTGAGTGGTTTATTTATTAAACTTATTAATTATAAATTAAAAAAATAAAAATGCCTTATATTTTTTAACATTCAATTTTAAAAAAAATATCTTATATTTTTAAATGTGGAAAATACGTAACATGTATAAATAATTTCAGAGAAATGAGTAAGTAAGACGATACAATAAAGTTTCTGCGAAAAGTTTAAAAATCTGATGGTACCATTAAGTGCTTAGCATTTTTTAATGCTTATCGATAAAAAGACATACAATAGAACAAGATCTACACGCAAACGAAGAGTGGGAGAGTCAACTTATGTTGAAGAGATAATGGTATCTTATTCAATGTCACGTGCCGGTGGGTATATATAGAAAGTTTACAGATCACATCGAAAGATGATAAATCTTGCCGTAATTTTTTTTCTATAAATAGAAAGAGATAGATACGTACGTAGAGATTATTTGATTTGCAAAGAAGCCAATTTAACTGCTTTTACTATAAGCTTCCTTGCTCATAACTATCAACATATTAATCAAATACAAGAAAAGTGTTATATAGTACAAATACTTAGTTTAACTGTTGTTATTATGATGAGCTAAAGAAAAAGGAGATCCCATGTATTCCCTTCATTATTTAATTTATATACTCCTTCCAGTTCTATTTATAAGATAGAAAGAAAATTTTGTGTGTATTATTTATAAGTCATATTATTAAATTTTTATTACAAATGTCCTCTTTTACCTTCTATTAAATATTAGTAAAAGAAAGCATATTATTAAAGTATGTATATTTTATAGGAACAAAGTTAAAAATTTATTAAATTTTTAAACTGAGTTAATGAGTTTTAAAATTTTTTTTATTATAATAAAATATATTAGAAATGATTTATAAATAAGATTAAATATAAGTCAAATTAAACCACCTGATACTTTAAACTTATAAAAATGTGTAACTTTCCAATTTTACCATTTCATTTATTAAAATTAATGAGGATAATAAAGTGTTGTATAAAATTTAAATGCATGCCAGAACCTATTACAATTAAGAAACGGTAATGTTGAATAAAAATTAACTACCATCACATCTTTCCCCTATATTTTGAATAAAGTAGGACTTTAAAACTTTGTGCTATAAATAACACTAGAAGAAGTATATTCCAAAATATAAATCACAGTTAAAATATTTTAAGCTTTCCCGATGTACACTTTAATTTATTAAATATAATTAATTCTTTTAATAAGGAATGGACTAATTAAGAAATTTTTTATATGTCAACAACATTTTTAGGATAAACACATTGATCATTTTCAACATTATGCATAATGACTTAATTATAAAATGAATTATAAAATACTTATGGAAGATACCTTTATAATAGGTAACATGATAATACTTATCAATATACTTCATCTGATCCTAAATATAGGAGCTAATAATAAACTAATTTACATAAATTAAAGAATTTAATTAAGTTGGTTATTTGTCATGGCAAAACAAAAATTGAGCTTGTTATTTGTTATTAGTGTATTAGTCATGTAAGAACAATTAATTTTATTTCTATTATAGTCAAATGGTCAAATTTTGAACTATTAGCAATCACCTGGGTGGCTGGGTCATGGACTACCCTATATTGTTTATTAATTTTTCTACAATACTCCTTTTAATGGGGAAGAGAGAAAATCAATTCAATCCAATCTACTCCCTCAATCTTTATAAATAAGGTATTTTTTTAGAAGTTTATTGTATCTTTAAATACAAAGAGTGTCATGATATTTTTGAATAATTAGACAATTTTACCTTTATCTTAAAAAAAGAGAAGAGATATTAATTGTGAGCTTTGCCCATTACTACTATGATATTAATTAATTGACAGGAAAAATTAGAAAATTATTGTGATATAAAGAGATTTCAACTAAATAACAAACTTTTATTGATATGAGGAATCTGGTTAAATACATTTTATTTATAGGGGTGAGGTATTTTGTAACGAAAAAGTTGTGCAATTAATAGGGATAGTTTGAAAAACTAATAAATGTGAGGTAAAAAGGAAATAAGGATCTCATATTTATAATACAAATAAACCCCTCAACTCGCTAGAATTGGTAATATTGCAATGCTATGAATAGAATATTTATAAAAGCTTAAGAATTCCTTATTTTTGCTTGTTTATGCTATTTCAAAATCTGACTTGATTTAATAGAAATTAATAAATACATGTTTGGTAGAACGTATAAATGTAGGTATTGTGTTTTGAAAGAGTGGATGTGATTATGAGTTTGATTATCTTTATCAAATGGACACGTAATTAGAATAATAAAGAAATAAAGAAATAATTAAGATGTATTTAGTTCAAAAGAGGGAAGGGATTTTAATAAAGAAATAATTATGGGAGAAGGAAAAAGTGAAACATAACAATAATATTTATATAAAAACGAATAAAAATACAGGATTTAACTTCTTTTTCTGTTATTTAATTAGGAAAAGTAAAAGTATATAATATTAAATATCTTAGTTTTATTTTTAAGCATATTTTCACTCTAAAATTTTTTTACTTTTGAAAAGACAATTTTGAGAGAAAATAAAGTAGACCAAATACCATTTTTCTCAATTTTAATACTCCTTCTTTCCGAAAATTAAAGCACTATCCTAACAAGAAAAAAAAATATTTTTCTTTGTTACGTTTGCTAATTTTCCTTTCTCTTTTATTTTTTCTTTGAACTTAAAAACAGGCCGTGCAAGCTTCTAGATCATCAAGGCAGCCGCCTTAGGCCTCAAAATTGCATTTATGTGCTATATAATTAGTCATTATTAAGAATTTATTGCTTTCTTAATTATATCATGTATAACCTGTCATTAATTTTATATTAACCATTAATGTTAATTATATCTTCTTTTGCTGTGGCCACTGTAGCATTTTTTATTTCTGGCAACAGAAGAAAACCATTGCAACAGGATACAAAAGTTATTAAAAGATGAAAATAATAAATTTTTTATCAGTAAAAAAAACAATAAGCAACAGTTTTTAAATATTGTCAAAAGAAAGATTTATAGGAAACTTTTTTTTTGTTTCCTATTAGAATAGAAAACAATTTAAAAATGTTGTGATATATATGTAATTTGAATATTTTATTTCAACACTTGAAAATCGTTACTAATTCTATTTTAAGAAATAGTTTTTAAACATTGTCATTTGCCAAATATTTGTTATTTAAAGTAGAAATCATTTGCAAAACAAAAAATTTATTACTTATCTTACATTAAACAACCCTTTTAAAACTACAGCAACTTAAACTGTTGCCTAAACCAAAAAGCTGTAGTGGGGTAAAAGAAGTTTTTAAAATTAAAACTAATTAAAACTTATTTAAGATAATTACTCATATTACAAAATAGATTAAATGAATTAGTTATATTATTCATTAAAAGTGAAATGTGAAAATTACTTGATTACAAAATTTTAATATATAATTTTATAACTCAAAAAAAATATAAAAATGATATAAAAATAAATAATTAACAATATATTAAGCCAGTGAATACATTTCAGGGAAAATAGCAATGAAGCACCACCAAAAAAAATTTATATTAGTTAAAGACATGTTATTAAAATTTGAATGAAGAACAAGCTTAAATAAATCATTATTAATTTAAAATGAATTATTATTAAAATTTAAATAAATAATTATTAATAAAAGATAAATTGATATTGATAAATATTCATTTAAATTTTAATAATAAATAATGTTTGAACGATATAAATTTTTTTTAACGATTCTTGTTTGATATTTTCCCAACCTTCTTCCCAATCCAATTATAAACATAAACATAAAATAAGCATTTGGTAAAATCGAAAACATCATGGGTAGATGCACAGTGAAGGGGGACAGCTAGCGCGGACCACGAGCTTTGAAAGTAATGACACGGACGTGTTTTGGATTGCTTTCCATTTTTGGGTCCCAGACCAATTAAGAGTAGATGCAAAAAAATAGAAAGTCCAAAATTACACGAGACCACGTGTCAGTCATTAATAGCACGTGCACCTATCAATCCACCTGTCATCCC